CCAAGCTGTTACAAAGTAGTGAAAGTGAAGAGTCATGTGTTCCAGATGCAGCCAGTGGGTGGTCCCTCCTCTTTGGTTGTCTTGGTTCTACTTACCCTGTCTCATGAGGGGGATTAATAAAGCTACAACACCAAGGTTAGAAAGAAGCTGTCCTCGTCTTGCCCATGGAGCCCTCTGAGAGCCGCTATGCAAATTGATCTGACTTTGAGATGAGTCAGGTCTCTGGCCCCTGACATCCTTATTTTGAGAGGCTGCTCTGCCTACCGCTCTGTGCTGGGTCCCTGTCCTGGGGTGGAGGCAACTGAGGTGCCAGGGAACAGTCTACTATTGAGGCTAGAAGTCCTGGGTTCTAGTCTGCTTTGTACCTCCACTCACTGGGGTGCCTTGGATGTCCTGGTTCTGCTGGATAGAGACAGGTGTGGTGAGTGTTTTGAGGGAACTCTGAATGGTAGAGCCTTGCCCAGATGTTGACGCTTGGCATGATAAAAGCCAGATTTGCAGCTCTAGGGATCCCACTGGGCAGTAGTCTTCAGGGAGCCAGCTTTGAGGGGCTGACAGAGGCTGTCAACATCTGTGTCTCTGCACTATCAGCTTGCTCTGGTAGGCCTTCCATCTTGGGAAGAGAGAGCTGGTCCCGGCCACCTAGAGTGTCTCAGACATCAGGCCCCGTCTCTCACATCTAGCTAGAGGACATTGGTCTAGCCCCAGTACTAGTTCAATTGAACCCTGCGAGCTCTGGCCATGGGATAATCAAGTCTTGGGGCTTCCACCTGCTTGACCTCTGGGGCTCTTCTCCCTCCTGGTCCACTGCCCCTCACCAGACCCAGCTCCACAGACAGCTTACATTGGTCTCATGCCAACTACTCCAGCCGCTTCAGGTCTGGAGGGACCCTAGGAGCAAGGTCCCTACAAAGCTGACATTCTTGTTTCCATGGTAGCAGTTGCCTTGGAAGCTGCTTCCCTGACTTCAGCTTCTGAACCATCCAAGAAAAGTGCTGTCCCCCAAGGGACCAGTAAATTAATCACACTCTGTTCCAGGGTTCTCACCCTCCATGGAAAATAAATAGAACCAAACCAAGCTGGAGCTTGTTCAACCACTCTCCCTCGCATACTCAACCCACACTTGGACCTGGTGCTTCTGAGAAAGAAAGGGCATGGATAGACACCTCCATAGCAGACAGCCGCCATAGGCAGACACCCCTAAGCACACACCCTCTCAGCCTTTGCCTTGCTGGGAGACTGGAGAGATGCTATGGTGGGACCTAGTGTGTGCCATGCTTAGTTGTGCTCTGAGTCCTGTGGCTCCAGGATAACTCATGCGCCCATGAGAAGGACTCTGGTACTTGGAAGGGCTGGGAACTCGTGGAACTTGGGCTGCTGCAACTCACTGCCTTCCTCGGACATCTCCCTTGAACTCATCTATAACTTCAAGCAAATCACTGAGGGACCAGCATGTATTTTCTTAAGGGACTGTCACAGCATACACTGGAGAAAGTCTAGGAGAGCCTCTCTCTCCATATTTGCATGTGTAGTTATGTGTGTGTGCACATATGCATGCGCACATGTGTGTGCATTGCACATGTGTGTGCATGTATGGAGAGGCCAGAGATCAACCTCAGGTGTTACTACTCAGGGGCCATCCATCCTGGAATTTTGTTTTGTGTTTTCTTTTTTAAATGAAGTTTCTTGTGGGGACCTGAAACATACTGATTCAGCTAGATCGACTGGCCAGTGAACTTCAGGGACCTAACTTTCTATGCCTTCCACAGCAATGGGATTATAAGTGTATGTCACCACCCAGCTTTTAATGCTTGTCCTGGGAATCAAACTCAAGTCTCCACGCTTACACAACAAGCACTTTACTGATGGAGTCATCTCCCCAGCACGTCTACATTGCCAAACAAAATGTCTAAATTTGAATTCGGTCTCTGGATTTTAAAGAGCAGGGTGTTCTTGAATCTGGAATTCACAAGGCTGGCTACCCCTGCCCCTGGCCTGAGGTACAGTAACTGGTACAAGTGTCTGATGTAAGACAAGCAAGCAGTGAAAGCCCAGCCTAGCCCAGGAGGTCAGTCTTGCTGACAGTATGGGAGAGCCACCCTCAGCCTTGGCTTTGAGAGGAGCCAGTGCTGACCCTACTAACCCTAGTGATGGCAACACTTAAGGGTGAGTGGAAGGCAAGGCATTGTGAATGGTGCTGAGACTCCTGAGGGAACATGCATTCATGGCCATTGACTTTGACAGCTCTTTCTAAAGCTAGCTCTCGGAGATGCTCTACAAATGACAAGGACATGGGGTATAAACTGATGCCAAATTAGAGGACAATTCCGTCCTTATTCTGGGAACATGGAGATGGTGGTGGGAAAACTTGCCTTCAGGGGCACCATCCTTATAGGGCCTGAGGGCCAATCTCTGCTTACGGTCCTCCAGCTGAGTCTCTCCTCAGATGGCCCTGGGACCTTAGCCCTTCTCCCACTCTACAGCAAGAGAAGACTTGGTAGAAATGTAGCTCATAGGCATTTCAGGCGGATCAGGTGGGATGGGTATTCTGGCACTCAGGAGTCACAGAATACTGAGTGTTACACAGCTCAGATGGAAAGGTATCCTGGAGCTCGGGAGCCAAGGACTACCACAGGCCGCAGTAAGCATAGCAGCTTATAGCCCTGCCTCAGGGAAAGGCTTCCCCAGTGTATCGGCTCTTTTCCAGCAGGAAAGGGTCTTCCAGCTGGGGATGTTTGCCTGGTGTAGCAGTTTTGCTCCGGCAGGAGAAGGTTTCCTGGGCGAAGTTGCTACAGTTCAGCTCTGCTTGTGGAGAGCCGAGTGCCAGGGGAAACTTTCCCCAGCCAAAGTGTTACAGCCCTGCCTGCTCTGCTCTGCCCAAGGCAGTCTCTGCTCCGATGCAAAAGAAGTCTTCACCTAAAGCTCATCCAAGGGGTTTATTGGGAGGGAAGAATCCAGGAAAGTGGCAGAGGACAGCCGGCAAACAGCCAAAAGCTGAACAGACCCAGGGTTTATTATAGGGATTCTTGGGGGTGGGGGAAGTTTTTCCAGGGTAGGGATTGGTCCATTTCAATGCTGAGCTCAGACTGACTAGAGCTCCTGCTCAAGGATTGGTTAGTTTTCTGCACAGGATTAGGGTCAGATTTGGCTCTGGTTTTCAGGGCCAAGGTGTGTTTCTTTCTCTGGTCCTTTTTAGCCTTTTGGCTCCAATTTTAGGGCCAGGGTACATTTCTTTCACTGACTCTGATTCCAGGGACAAAGTGTGTTCCTTTGGCACTGGTTTCAGGGTCAGGGTACATTTCTTTGGTTTTGGTTGCAGGGCCAAAGTGTGTTTCTTTGGCTGGTCCCTTTTCCCTACAGAGCTTGCTTGGTGTCCTTTTCCCTTATGACTCAAGGGGTTAGTGCAGGGCCAAGCCCAGAGCTCTCTCCTGTATCCAAGGTCTCTGTGACCATGACATTCTGCAAGGTTCAGTCTCCAGAAGAGACAGAACAAAGAAGAGGAGGGAGTCCTGAAGGTGGGGTGGCAGGGCAGCCCAGGCATGCTCAGGAAGGACTGTCCATGTAGGCCTTGAGGGACAAGGAGAGCTTGATTTACTGGACAGAAAGAACCAGATGTATGCTCAGCTCCAAAGGAGAGAAAGAGCTTGGAGGGAGATGCAGTGCAGGCAGGGGACTTTGAGGCTGTGCGGACTGCAGGCATAGTGGTGAGAGATGGGCAATGAAAAGGGATTCTGTGCAGAGTAACGTGGCCTTGGGAAGTGTCCCCAGGTTGGAGCAGGGAACATGCTCTAAGACTGGGAAAACCCTGATCCATATAGGTCCAGGAATGCAATTAATGACAAGGGTTAGAGTTAGGCTCTGGGACAGGGACAGGAATCGGGACAAGGCTTGACTGGGTTCCTACTGTTTGGTGGATCCTCCAAACAGACTGACCTGTTCAGCTAGGTTGGGTAGAGGTACTCACGCTGAAAGGTCCCCATCATAACTCAGCTTCATGTCACTTCTCACCCACTTCCTCCATCCAACCCTACCCTAACTCACTACTTACTACCTCTGCTTTCCTAGCCGGGAATTACCAGGGTTTAGCCTTTCATCCTACTGGCAGCTGAAACTGGTGCTACCAGTGCCCGCCTAAGGTAAATGGGGCTTTTTAAGATCAAGGCTTGGACTGAGACCTCTCTTGGGCCAGCAGCTGACAGGATGATAAGAGAAGCATGGCAGGGACAGGGCAGAGAGTGGACTTGGAGGATTCCCCCTCTTTCCGTGTCTCCAAACAGGGCTTCAGGTGTACCACTGAGCCAAGGGGCAGAGGCCAGTGGTCATCCTTGAGCACGGGACTGGGGAGTGTCCTCACATCCCTACCCCCTGAGCACCATAGGAAGCCATAAGCCTAGGCTTCCTGCTCAGGAACCAACAGTGGAACCTTGGCTATCTGCCCATTGGACCTCAGAGACCCAAACAGAAGCTCACATTACAGTCTCGTAAATAACTCATCACCTTGCTGCCTGCACCTCTGAGAAACCTATGCTCTTAGGCCCGCCCCCCCCAACCCCACCTTGCATTTCTTTAAACTTTAATAGGCCCAAGCTCCAAGGCAACTGAGCAGGGTCACGGAGCTGAGACAAAAGTCTTCAGCAGAACTTAGGCCCAGCTCCCTCGAGTCCCGGGTGGTAGCTGATAGAGGCGGGCCTCATGGAGCAGACCCATCTCCCTACAACCCTGGCCAAATAGAAATGTGGCCAGGCAGGAACCCCGAGAGTGGCCTCCAGCATCACAGCCCTTCACAGGTGGTAGAGTAAACTGGGTGAGGAGGTCAAGCTAGGACTGGGGGCCCCTAGGAGAGCTGTGGGATAAGGTTGCAGATACATCCCAGAGTTAGCAGCCCAGAGATATACAGCCCAGAAGTTTCCACCCTGGATGTGGCACTCCAACAAGGAGGCATCCATCCAAGAAGACCAAGATTCCCGGGAGGCCTGCAAGCAGAGCCCTGGTAGTCCTGCATGGACATCCCCATCAGCACCAGAGACTTCCGCTGCCTGCAGCTGGCCTGTGTGGCCCTCGGCCTGGTGGCCGGCAGCATCATCATTGGTGTCTCCGTGTCCAAGGCTGCTGCTGCTGTGGGTGGTATCTTTCTTGGTGCCGCTGGACTTGGTGAGCAGGTGCTGGGCTGAGGTGGGGGGGGGGAGATTTCCCTGGGAAGCAGGGGTCTGGGGAGGTAAATGAGAGATGGGGGGGCAGGACTGATCAGTGGAAATTGGTTGGGGAGAAAGTTGTAAGTACTACAACCTCAGCATTCAGGAAGGAGAGCCAGCCTGGAGCAACTTTGCAAGTGACAAGGAAGGATAGACTGGGTGTTCACACCTTCCGTGCTACCTGGTGGGATCACGTGTTTATGGGAGGAGTCACAGCTCAGACAAAAGACCCTCCTCTTCTCCATGGTGTCAGCAGCAGTTCTGTCTGTCTGTCTGGCCAGGCCCATTGATGTAGAATGCCATCTCTCACCCCACTATCCCAGAAGAACCTAGAACTCCAGGCTGGGCCCTCCAGGCATAGCTTCAAGCACTGAGTTCCAGAAACACTTGGTCTGCAGGGACAGTCTGGGTGGGAAGGAGCAACAATGGAGCCTAGAAGGCCACTCTAAAGGTCTTGAGAGAGGAGAGAGCTGGAGGGGAAGGGCAGTGATACTGGTGTCAGCTGATCCAGAAGGAAAGTAACCAACCTGCTCTTCACCTAAACAGTCAGCCAGGAACCTGCAAACCTGTGGCCCCTTCCCCAGATAGGGACTGAATCTCCAGCCAGGGCTGAGTCTGAGTGCTGGAATCTACATACATGCGCTCGTGTGCGCGCGCGCGCACGCACACACACACACACACACACAGGCACGCACACCCCTCCTATTTATACACCCACAGTCCTGATCCTCTGCACCTCCACCCTCCTCCATCACCTCACAAACCACCCACTCCCAGCACTCTCTGTGTCCTTCCTCAGGGCTCCTCATCTTCGCCTACCCCTTCCTGAAGGCTCGGTTCAACCTGGACCACATCCTACCTGCACTAGGTGAGTAGTTCCTCCCCCACAGACCCTCTGACAAGTACAGTGCAGTCCCTTTTGTGTGCAAACCTGTGACTGTCACTGACCATGCCCATGTGTGAGACTGCTCCGGGCTGCATAATGGAGTGTGTGTGTGTGTGTGTGTGTGTGCTGTGTGCCAGTGTCACCATGGCAACAGAGTAGCAGAATCCAGTCAGCTGCCTGAACAGACATAGCTAAACCTCTGGAATCTGTCTACCTTAAGAGTCTTTTCACTTTTCACTCCCACAAAGTCTCCACGATCTCCAGATGACACTCTCATCCCCAAGCCCCATAAAGACCCTCTACCTCCCCTTGGGTCCCATGACCTCTTAATAGTTCCCGTCTTACTTCCACAACCTACATCCAGACTCCCAACACTCAGTCCTGTGCAGCTTCACATATCCCTAGTTCCCTCCTTAAAACCCTGTCGCCTGTGGTTGAGCAGTGGTGGCGCACGCCTTTAATCCCAGCACTATGGAGGCAGAGACAGGCAGATCTCTGTGAGTTCAAGGCCAGTGTTGTCTACATTGAGTTCCAGGACAGACAGGGCTACACAGAGAAACCCCTTTCTCAATAATTAGATAGATGGTAGATAGATAGATAGATACATACATACATACATACATACATGTTAGGTAGGTAGGTAGGTAGGTAGACAGATATAGTACCACTGCCACCTCCTTCAAGGATTCATTTCTCCTGCCCCTCCCCACCCCAGATAGATAATATGGGAGACCTGAGGGAATACAGTAGAATGGAGACAGCCCTGGATGGAGATTAGACAACAAGAACTTCCTTTCTCAAACCAGGCTGGATTTGGGAATGACCCAGTAAATGGGAATTTGGGGTGGTCTCATCCTGCAGGAAACCTAAGAATCCATCCAAACTCAGCACCAGACCATGGGGAGGGAAGGTCTCACAACAGCAGCAATAAGGAAGGTAAGCGCCTGAAGGTCTGGAGTCTGTCTTTTGTCTCTGCTCTCTGACTGGACAGCCTTATAGGTCCTGGGAGGAACCTTGGGGGTCATAGGCATGGAGAAGTCCCCAGCCCAGGGAAGTAGTGATGTTGGGTCAGCTTCCATGTGAGCAATTTGTCTTTAGGGCTTCCCTACCTTGCCCAGAATAGACACTGAGACACAGGGCCCCCTACTTTCCCTTCTCCTACCCCTTGGGCCTCAAACCCTGGTTACTCTTCACTCTTCTTCCAGTGCTGGAGTCTGGCTCTTGGCAATGATACCTGAAACTGGGCATCTTCTCCCCTCCTGACCCTGTCCTCCACACTGGGAAACCCCAGGGAGGAATTCTCCAAGGCAAGCCAGCCCCAAATGTTGACATGTGCTTCCCCCAGTGCTTACTCAGCAGAAGGACCCATTCCAGATGCTGCCCCAACCACTTTACATACATAGCAGCTTGGTTCTCACAACCACATGCAGGGAGGTGCCACAGTGAACTTCACTGTTTGTTTTTCATGGAGCAACTGAGGCAGAGAGGTTACATAACACATCCAAGATCACAGCTAGGAGGCAGTGGGACCAGCACTGGAGCCAAGCATCAGCTCCTGAGTCCTGCGCTCCTTACACTGTACTTGATCCCTAGGACTCCCCACCTCCCCACCTGTCCCAGCTCTGCCCTGCATCCTGGAGCATTCTGACCCCCACTCTTTGGGTTCTCTGACCTGACAATTAATAGGGGTCTGTACTCAAGCATCTCCATCCTGCTGTCTCCTCCAGGAGCCCGTAGCAGCCTGTCCACTGTGACCAGAACCCTGGAGAAGCTGAAGCCTGGAGGCCGGGGAACTGAGGAGAGCTAAGGCACTGCCTCCTGTCCCTCCCTCCCCTCTCCTGATACTCATATCCCAGGGCCCTCCTTCAAGACAGAAGATCCAGAGATGGTCCCTGGGGATACTGGACCTACCTTCTCTTCCAATGAGGTTCTTCATAGCAGATCCCCTCACTCCTGGCATTGTTGCAAGACCCACAGGGCCCCAATGGCCTCAGTCTCTCCCCTGGGCTCATCCCCTGGACAACATCTCAACTTTATTCCCTTGTTGATCTCTTCCTGGGATTTGGTCCAGGGTCCTGACTGCAGCCAGACATGGTTGTTTCATCCTGGCCATAGTATCTGACCACAGATGAGGCCCCCAGCTGCGACTGTCATGTCTATGTCAGGAGCACAAGCGACCATGAGCGAGGTGAGGTGGCTTTCCAGATAAGCTCAGTGCTGACACCATCCTATCGTACTTCTCCACCCAGGACTCTCCAGCACCTGGCTCCAGACAGGCCCCCAGAAGTTCCTGTTCTCCCCACTTCTCTTTGCAAGGAGAAGACTCCATGCTCCCTCTAAAGACCAGCTCAGAATCCCATAGTTACACCCCCTTGTCCTATCCCTGTCTTAGAACGTCCAGGAAAGCTTGAATTCTTTTTCTCAAAAACAATTGCATTTGTTTGTTTGTTTTAAGACAGGATCTCATAGCCTAGGCCGATCTTATGTGTTCAGTCATGCTTAGCTAAAGTTAGCAGTTCTATTTGTTTTCTACTCCAAGTACTGAACCCAGGTTTTGTACATGCCAGGCAAACATCCATCACTCAGCTATATCCCTAGACCTTGCAAAAACAATTCTCAAGCCCACCTAAATATTATGAATGGTGCTTTTTTCCCCTCGGCCTTAACACCAGGCATGACACACAGTAGGTGCTCAGCAAATGCTAGTGGCTTAAAATCAGTGAAGAAAAAACCTACCCACTAGGCTTTCCTGGGAAGCTACATTATGGCATGTCCACCATAAGGTTTGAGATAGGGAGGCCCAGGCGCACATGCACAGGCAGAAGGCAGCGTCACCCTCCACATCTGCACCTCCTGGAACAGCAATAGTGTTTGGTCTCCACAGACACCTGCTCCTTGTCCTGCTTTGAGGAGAGACAAGCTGGGAACACTCTTATTCTTGCAGGACCCATGCAAACGAGTCCTGTCAGAAGCCCTCTCTGACACTGCCCCAGTAGTGCCAAGGACAGCTGGTCCCTTGAATAGCATTGGTCTGTGTCTCCATGTCGAGCATGAGAGCAAGGGGTCAGGTGCACAGAAGACACAGGGATGTTGGGAAACAGGCCACGTGGGAGAGCCCATCTCAGACAGATGAGAAAGCTGAGACATCTCAGGATAAAGGACTCATTGTGTGCCCCAGGAGAAGTCGCCCAGTCAAGCTTTGCAAGCAAGTCTCCTCTTCTTTGCATAGCCATAGCGCTCAGCTCCCTGCCAACAGTAGCCGACCTCCACACGGGGTGGGTTTCACAAACGCTGGCCAGCTGTAGACTGCTTCCTCCACTGAGAGAGGTGCGCCTTCTCACCACCCTTTTGCCTGCTCCTTGCCACTTCTCCTCCTCTTCCTCAGCATCATCGCCACTCAAGCTTCCTCAGCGGATGAGAAACCCTTTCCTCCTTCAGACTTACCTCTGTGCTCCAAAGAGATGCCCAAAGGTGGAGAATGGAAACGGGAGATATAAGTCCTGAGCTGAGGAGAAGGTAGCTCCCCTCCATTTGACCGTCCCAGGCAGGATCTCCCTGAAATAGGATGGTAAGCCTGGTGCCTGAGGAGCCCAGCACAGAGAAGTCCTTGTGACCTTTGTGGAATAAACTCAAAAAAAATCACATGAGAAAACAAGTGCTACATCCATCAGAGAAGCTGGCAGAGTGGAATGGTGAGTGGAAGCTCTGGGGGCCTGGTCCTTCCGTTGCCCTCTCTGCCCTGCCGTGAGCTTTCTGAAACCTCCATTCTCCATCACGGGTGGATGTTCAGATGCGACCTCTCCAGGAGCACCCACTCTCCCCAGCGGCCCCCGGGAAGCACACCTTCTTTCCTGGTCCTACTTGGAGAAGAGGTGGGGCCACGTAGTAGCTAGCAATCGTGTGCTAGGGAGTTCTGAGGCAGTACTTCTGAGCTGCAACAGAACGTTCCAGTGGGTCAGCATGGGTTCCGGAGTGGACAGAGACCCAGCTCTTCCAGGACTCCGAAAAGAAACTGGTTCTTTCCAGAAGCCCGAATACCTGGGCCCTGGGCCATGTCTGAGGCAGCTCAGTGTTGGACCAAGTGCTGAGTACGTAGCAGTAAAGCAAAGCTCGATCTCGGCAGCCCGCTGAAGTCACCTCCTTACTGGACCTATCTGGAGGAAAACTGCTGCAGGTAGGAGAGTTGAATTGAGACTCCCGTCTTGGTTCAGGCCTCCAGGGGCCAGAGCAAGAACCTGGAAGCCTTGGGCCTGACTCATCTGCAAATGGAAGATTGGCTTTGACAGGTCCTCATTGGCCCAGGCTGTGAAGGAAGGATGCCTGCCTGGTATGTGGACAGATCAGGTGGATTTGTGAATGAATTCATAGATATATGAAGGGACAGTGGGCAGAGGTGTCCTCCAGCCACACTCTTCCATGTCTATCCAGGCCTCTCTGCAATGAAGTTCAACCTCAAGCAGCCTCTGCCCAGCGCATCCTCCTGGACCTTCATCCCATGCCTATAGGGACATGCAGCCACACCCCTTTCTAGAGTGCTGAACTCTAATTAGGGAAGGGGGACTGAAAAGAAACCCCACCCCTGGGACAACTCTCCCAAACCCCTCCCCAGCACCAGGCACTCCAGGGCGGCACAAATGCTAAAGATTGCAGGCAGGGGTGTCCTGAATGGAGCGGCACTGTTTCCACACAGGGTGAGAAAAACTGCAGCCTAGACAGTGTGGGCGGCAGGGAATTAGTTGCTGGGGTGCTCACAAACCAGGAACCCAAAGGAACGAAGGCGAGAAGGACGCGCCGAGCTTGTAGGCTGGAGGCAGCCGGTGGGAGCGGGGAGAGGTTGGCCGCCCACGCAGGGAAGGGGCTCCGGCCAGCAAGAGGCTGCTGTAATCCGCAGCCAGGCGCTGCTGTCCCAGGCTGCATCGCTGTCTCCAGCCCACCGCCCGGTGCTGCGACCCAGAAGACACCACGGACAGCGAATCTCAGCCTGGTGTGCCCACCCTCCCAGAGCCCCTGCCTGTGTCGTCTGCAGATCCAGCTCTGCTAGGCGGGGCATCAGTCCGTGCCCTGAGCCTAACCAACCCCTGGAGCTCGGAACTCTCTTCTCTCAGGGGTCAGCCTGGTCACAGCAGGGAGTGTCCACGCGTGCTCTCTCAGGCAAGTGCCGCACAGAAATTTGGGGGTGTTAGTGAGTGGGCAGGGACTCTGGAGGGACTGCTGAGGGGAAGGGGAAGATGCTTATCCTGCTCTGAAAAAGTAGGGTACCACACAAGGGATCTCTGGTCTTGAGAAAACAAAAGTGAAAAAGAGAAAGGGGGATTAGAGGACAGCAGACACACCCCAGACTGGCTGACTGCCTTGGCTCTCCTGCCCTACCCTGGTCCCTGCTGCTGTTAACACTCTACCCTAGGACCTCCCTCGACCTCCTGCACTTCCTCCAATGCCCAGAGTCAGGAGAAAGCTGAGAGAAACTGGCAGATAGCAACTCCAAATCTCAGAGACAAGTGAAGCCCAGAAGACAAGACTTCCGTGACTTCTGCGACCAGTGCTCCCTTCCCATTTGTTTCACTAAAGTTCACTGGGAAAAGGCGGGTACTGCAGTCCTGGACGCAGGGGTCCATGACTAGGGGAGCCTGAACTGAGTGCCATGTCATCTGCACAGGAAGGCAGAGCTGGGGGAGCTAGCTGAGGACAAAGCCGACGTGGAGACCAGCTCAGCCCCCACCACAGCAGACTCAGGAGGGCTAGCTGGAGGAATGTGGCCTGATAGAGCAGCAGTTTGGGGAGGAATGGGGAATGAGCACGGTCAGGTCGTAGGACAAGAGAGGAAATGAGGACTGGAAAGGTCCTTGGCAGGAGAATCTAAAGGGCCCCAAGATGGGGAGCCTGAGGGTGAAGGAGGGCCCAGGGCCAAGCCTGGGCGTTCCTCCTGGGGCTGTGGCCTTTGGGGAAAAGGCAACATTGACGGAATCTATACACAGAGGCAGCATTCCCAGGAAGTAGGGTTAAGAAGGCTTCGAAAGCAGAGACCAAGAGCTGAACCACGTTCACTAAGCTCAGTGACAAGGGGTCACTGACAACATTGTGAATAAAGAGGCAGGAAGATGATGGGAGAGGAATCAGACCAGAGTAGATGCCCTTGGGAAGGGAGAGAATTGCGGAGTATAGGCCATGTATTCAGAAAGCAGAGAGGCAGCTAGCTCAGCTCAAGATCATGACTGGGTTGGATTGAAGAGGGGACAGGCAGCAGTTCCCAGGAGGAGGTAGGATCCACTGAGGGGGTTGGTGAGGAGTTGTGGAGATGCAGTTGCAGGTCCACAGCAGGCTGGTGTGGCCTGGTGGGGTTGCTTCTCATCTCCCGGGCTTAAGAGTTTGGGTGAAGACAGAAGGCAGGAAGCTGGACTGAGACAGGGCTGAGCTTTGCTGACTGACATTATCAGAACAACAAAATGAGACAAAATCACAAGAGGAACTCAAGTAAAGTCAGTGTGAGTCGCAGGTGGTCACAGAAAGAATCAGAGACACAAGGACCATGGCAAAGAGTTAGGGCTCTGGGGATGGCATGCCATCAAAGAACAGCTAGGGACAGCATGCATTCCTGGAACTGCTCTGACTTAGAAGACAGAGCCTAGATCATAGACCTGGCTCTGCCATGCATTACCATCAGGTTTGTGTCCTTAGATAATTGATTTAACCTGAATCTATACTTTCTTATTTGTCAAAAAGGATGGTAATATGTTTTCTTCTTAGGACTGTCATGGGATTAAATGAATTAATATGTATAAAGGGCTTATATCATTGTCCATTTTCCATTACTATAATAGAATACCTAAGATGGACCATCTTACAGTAACTTACACTATTCTGGAGTCTGGGAAGTCCAAAAGAAGGGTGCTGGCCTAGGGTACCTAATCACATTTTTTTTTGAGTCAGGGTCTCACTGTATATATCGGGCTAGCTCCTGTCTCCTGATTACTGGGATTAAAGGCATGTTCCACCATGCACAACTCCTACCCACTTTTTAAAGGGATGGGCCTTACATCCCAGCCCCACCACTAAGCAGCCTGATTTCTTCATGAGTTTGGGAGGGACAAGCCATAACAACTTGGGACATTGTTGGGCACACATTGGGTGCTATCAAAGAGTTAGTGTAGTGATAGAAGTGGGGATATAGTGTTGGACACACAGTAGGTGCTATCGAAGAGTTTGTGTAGTGATGGAAGTGGGGGTATAGTGTTGGGCACACAGTAGGTGCTATCGAAGAATTTGTGCAGTGATGGAAGTGGGGTACAGTGGAGAACAGGGTGCCAGGCTCCTCCAAGGTGGGCTGACTCAGGGTGATGCCAAGGATGATAAAATCCTAGTGGACACAAGGTGTGGGGCAGGGTAGCTGAAATGAGGTGAAGGAACTAGACAGTGGGGTAAGAAGTCAATGGAGCAAGAGCCTTGGACAGACAGGGCAGGGAGACGGGGAGGCGGAGCTGGTCACTACGCCTTGGAAGGGGGTGGGGGAAGGACAGCTCCACTCAGGCAGTGTACAGTCCCCAATGACCACCCTCCTGTTGCTCCAGGTAGCTCAGTTACTGTTGTAGAGGCAGAGGCCTAGACTGTCTGCCCTTACATGTCCCCTGGCTAGGGACTAGGAACGTGTCTGAGAGCATCAGGAAGAAATGGAAGGCAGCAAAACACCAAGGACAGCAGAGTCACTGTTGTCTGGATGGGTGCGAGGTTTGGTCCAATGGACACAGGGCTGTGACCGATGCAGAGTCCTTTGTCACTTGGGCCATCTACTGTGCTAAAATAAGAGCTTGAAAAGCCTGTGGAGACCTTCCAAATGGGACTCCTACCTCACAGCTAGGAGTGTGACAGTGGAGTAGCCCATGAGGAGCTCTGGGCCTACTTGCTGCCTAGAGGCATGGAGACCCACAGTAAACAGGAGGGCACTGTAGGAGTGTGTGAGGCAGAGCGTGCTACCCCATCACCACTCCTGAGGCCACTGCTCCCAGGCGCCCTCCACCACCACCATGACACAGGGTGTATCTAGAGACACAACTGCAGGAGCTCATCTCTACCAGAGAGGAATGCGTCAGCCTATGCCTGCTGTTCTGTGTGCAATCGGCGTTCTGGGTATGTTTGGCTCCTGGGTGTGCATGTAGTGAGTGAGGGGGTGGTGGGTATCACACCCTGGGAGACCAGATGAGCAAGCCCAGAAGTCACACACAGACTAGAAAGTCAGGCTTTCCAAGTTTCCTCCTTAAATAGTGTTTCTAGGTTGGTGTGTGTGTGTGTGTGTGTGTGTGTGTGTGTGTGTGTGTGTGTGTCTGCATATGTCAGAGGGTGGGAAAGGTTCTGGCCATTAACTGGAGAGGGATGATGGTGTCTCTCTGGGCCCTGGGGAGGCAGAATCCATTTGGCAAGAGCTGAGAATTTGCAGCGTAATGAATAAACCCTGGCAGGCAATGAGCAACAGTGATGTAGGAGGCTCTCTGAGGATGGAGTAGAGTTGAGAATAGAGTGAGTATTAGTCTGGGGTCCCAGAGGACAGGCCTTGTCCAAACTTTAGGGACTAAAAAGAAAAGGAAGAGTTCCCAGTCAAAGGACAATAAAGGGCTTTGACTGAGCAAAAAGTCAGGAACACACATGGAGGATGAGGCCAGGGTCCTTGGCTAATATCTTCAGCAATGGCCCTGGGCTCTTATCCAGAGGCTCTTGAAGCTGGAGCCAGGCCTGGGATACCTAGCAGCTGCTGCCAGCCAGCAGCCAGTTGCTTTTATTCAGAAGTCTTAGAATCATGGTCTAAGACAGTCTAACACAGGGGCACCAGGCAGAAACTTCCCCCCAAGGAGCTCTAAGCTCTACTTACTGATGACTACCTCAAGCTTGTTGATGGTTACCTGGGTAATTATAATCAACAGTGACAGTCTTTTTTAAAAAAGTGTGTGTATATGTGTAGCATATGAAGAATTTAAGGTTTCCTCTGATCTATACAAACACAGAGAGAGAGAGAGAGAGAGAGAGAGAGAGAGAGAGAGAGAGTCAGAACCCAGGTACAGCCGTGATTTCTTTGGGAAATAGCCTAATTCAGCCAAAAGCAAAGAATTTGGGAAAACGAACAAGTAAAATCATATTACTGATTAGTGTGATCCTTTTATGATACCTTGTGATGTTTTGATAGGGAATTCTAAACAGGCCCCTATTTCTACCTTCACAAATCTCAGGTAGTTAAGCAAGGAGCATCAGGTTGACAAGAGACCTCAGTTCAGAGATAACCATCCCTATTATACCCCTCCCTTTATATTCAGATAACTAAGATGCCGGGAAGAGAATGCAGCTATTCCAAGTTGCCTATCAGCTGAAATCAAAGTTTATGGTCACCTCTGAGACCCTCTCCCAAGTCCTGCCTCTGCCCCAAACTGCTTCTATGCTAGACATCCAAATAGAGATCACAAGACCTTGCTGACCAGAGGGAGAACAGCTTTGCCAGAATCATGGGCAGCAAACATCAGTGGTTAGAGCCCTGTCTGTGCTGGGGGGAAAAAGCTGTGTTCCGGCTGAGCACAGTCTCCCTCCATGACCTTCTCATTCCAAGCCTCATCTATAGAGGACTTGGTTGTGGAGTGTGGTAGTACATACCTGTAATTTCACTTCCTCGGGAGTGGAGGGCAGAAGGATCACAAGTTCGGATTCAAGACCATCCTGGGCAGCTTAGCAATTTAGCAAGACCCTGTTTCCAAAAAAAAAAAAGTCTAAGGATGTGGCTCAGTGGTAGAGCTCTTGGCTTCCATGTATGAGACCCTGGGTTTACTCCCCCGATCAGGGCATGACTTAGGTGATCTCCACAGACTCACTAAAGCAGAGTTCTTTTAGTCTGAGCAACTGACTATTCAGAGCAGTGATCTTTCCTGTGCTCAAGCGCTGGGCTTGTGGGCCTTAACTGGAATGAAACCAAAGGGACTGGAGAATTTGCAGCCGTAGCAACAGAATGAAGTCCAGAGGGTCCAGCTTCCGAATTCAGTAGTGCAGTTTAGGGATGACTCGTCACAGTTCCTTGTCCGGAAGATGCTGTTTTGACACGTGCTCAGAGGGGAAGCTCAGCTAGACCTGGTAGGACAGGCCTGTGATTCAAGCTACTAGAGAGGATCCAAAGTTCAAGGTCAGCCTGGGTAACTCAGTGAGCCTGGGTCTCAAAAAGTGACTGGGTGTTGGGGAGCAGTGATAAATAGCTCAGTCGTAAGGGCTCACCTAGGAATTGAAGCCTAAGCCTAAATTTGACCTCCACTACTACCAAAAGAAAAACAAAAGGAAACAAATCAGTAAGATCTGAAATATCTAGTGAACAGCTTGAACACCCCCACGGCATTGCTAACCAGAGTCCTCACAACAAAACAGAACCAGGGGCATCTGGGGTCCTCAGACCCTATATAAACAAAGAAATGAGATCCTCGGGCCTTTGGGCCATCCAAGGCTCCCTTATCCAATGTCAGCTTTCAAAGCTGGGGCCAGAATCCATCAGTTCTGCCTGAGGCACCATCACTCAGCTTCCAACTGAACCTTCACTGCAAGAAAAAAGACCTTGCCTTGCCATAGAAAATCAGATGTTGGTAACTGCAGGAAGGGAAGCAACAGGCAGGGGTGTGAGAGAGGAAGACTGCCAATCCCAGGGACCTCCTGGGGTTAAAACTGTAGCGAGGCTGTGTGCAGCGTGCATGGTGTTGTCTGTTCTCGGCTCCACCGCGTTGTGTTCTCGGCTGGCAGGTGATTCTTTCATTTAGTCCACAAAGCTCCCATCCACTCCCAATCTGAGCCTCAGCTTCCTTGGCTGTAAAATGTGGTTATTAAGTGTCAAGCGGCTGTAGGAGTTCAGGGATGATAATGGGTGGGAACGGCCTTACAAATTCAACAGCTGCATGCTTTTAGTGGCTGCCTGGAAGCTGGTTGGGCCACACATGGGAAGCTTCCTAGAGGCAGCTTAGATGCCCTCAACAATCTTTGTTTGTCAGGAGTTTGGGCAAAGAAACTGTTGTAATCTGACATGATTTGCCTCCCAGGGCTGAGATTTCTACCATCTTCACCATGCTTCATGATCATTGCCAATGTTTTAGGCATTTTACTTAGCTTAAAGCACTCAACTATCATTGTATCCTACGAGGTATCTATTGGCCCTAATGGAACTTCATGATGCCCTATGAGGTTGGTTCTATCAGCCCCACACAGATGAGCGGTGTTAGGCTACCTTTTCCAGCTTACCCTCCCTATTCCCTTCTGTGGAACTGACCACTCCTCTCTCTACCTAGGACCTTTTTCTGACATTGTACCACAATTTCAACACAGCTCACAAACTATGCTTTCTCAAGTCATGGGGCCTGGGAGCTCATACTATAAGTCAGAATTCCCATAAATGCTAGCGTTTGGTTTGGGGTTTTGTTTTTGTTTTTGTTGATTTGAGATAGTCTCACTATGTAGGCCTGGCTAGCCTATAACTGACAAAGATACACCTGCCTCTGCCTCTTAAGTGCTGGATTTAATGGCATGTCCCACTCTTGTTTTGTTTGAGAAGTCACACATTCTGAGATAGCGACTATATTGCTCTTACTTCTGCACAGATTTCTAGACTTTTACCAGTCCAGTGATAGTTCCAGGAACAAAACTCATCTAGCATGTGTGTAACTGTGGGTGCATGCATGCTACAGCATGTACGTGAATGTCAGAGGACAACTTTTCAGTTGGCTCTTTCTTCCCCCTTGCTTAAAGATGAAGTCTCTCCTATTTCTGCTTCTGTGCTGTGACCTTCCAGCCCATTCTCCTGCTCCACCTCCCACCTTGCAATCAGGGTGTGGGATTACAGATGCTGGCCCACCACATCTGGCTTTTTACTTGTTTCAGGGTCATTTCACTTGTGTTCCAGGAAACAGACTCGGGTTGCCAGGCTTGGGCAGCAAGCACTTTTACTTTCTGAGTCATTGTCCCATAGATGAGGCTTTTGAAGTTAAGTCCAACTGCAGAATCCTGGGTGGTGAAATGCAGAACCCTGGAATTTACTAGAATGCAGTCAAGAAAGGGCTCAGGGGTCCAGATCATGGGGAAACTGCCTCCTCGGTGGACAGCTGAACATCAAAAGCTTCATCACTCTCATGGACCACTCATACCAGAGCCTCATCCAATGACCATGAAAGTTGGTGTCATTGCTATGCCTGTGAGAGCATAATGTAAGTCACATGATCAAGTAGGCTCTGGGTCTGGGTCTTCAATAAACGGCTAGGCATCTCCATGCTTCCTTTTCTTCACCTGAGCAAGGAGAAACTAAACCAGATTATCCCCAGGTCTCCACCACTTGGGGGTGGGGATGCGGGGAGTAGGAAGACTGTTTAAAACCCCAAAGCTGCCCTCTGGTTAGGACTACGAACCGGTCAGAAAGAAAGAATAGTTCATTTAATCAGCAACCTGCCAAGCATTTTGCAGCCTCTTAATTAGAGCCTGAAGGCTTCCTGAAGGAAACATGATTTGCGGTGACTGACTGGGTGGGAAAACAATCTGCAGATTCTTCACATTGGATGGGTTGTTTCCCAGGGCTGTCCACGATGACCTGGGCAACTAGCAGACAGTGCAGACAGTCACTGAACTGAGGCCAGGTTGGAGGTTGATAACCCTGATCCCCTCTGACTCTCCCTCTTGCTGTATGTCCGCAGGACCACCACGAGCTTACCCTGACAGGTGTGCTATTGTGGACAGGCAGCCAGACAGAGCTTGAGGCGTGCAGGGCGTGGGCGGGCTGATGCCGCAAGCAACAAAGAAAAGCACAGCGTCCTTGGCCCCAGCGCCCCCAGGCCGTGTCCAAGGCCGACTAAGGGGCCTACCGTCACCGGCGCTGTGCTGCGCCTGTGGCTTGTGTGTGCTGCTGGCCGGCCTGAACGTGACCCTGGTAGGAGCTTTCGCTGCCTCCCTGTCCGGGCACAATGCACCACTGGTGGTGGGGCCGGCGCTGCTAGTGCTGGCTCTCGGCTTCTTCGCTGCTTGCTGCGTGTGCAGCCGCCGGGCACCCGTGTCCCGCGCGCGCTCCTCAGCCACGGAGGGCCAGGGCGGCAGGTGCACAAGGACCGTGGCACTAGAGATGGAGAGCAGCGAGCGCACGGCTCAGGACACTACCGCAGTGCAGCTCAGTCCTGCCGCTTCGGCTGCATCCTCTGGCCACTCCAGCCCCGGGCCCGGTCTCTTCGCCCTGGACCCTCCTTCGCCAGCAACCTCGGTCGGCTACTTGCCACGCACCGAAGGGACTCAGCACAACTTCCCTAGGGATCTGGCTGCCTCCTAGTGGGCCAGGAGAAGAGAGGAGGGGTAACTCCAAGGACTGAGCACAGGTGGCCTCATCTGTCCCATCTCTAGAACTTCCAAAAGGGTGAGTGTAGTGATGGCATTGGCTCTCACACCCGGAAAAAGGGAGCAGACCTTTGACCTGGGGTCTCTATGCTCTACTTCATCCTCCCTCCTCCTCTCTGAATTGATGAAACTGGACCGTGGATCTGGGAAACCTGTCCTTCCCCATGGTGTTTGAGCACTATGTAGGAAGCCTCATACAACTGAGGGCATCTAGTCAGGCCCTCGAGGTGGGAGGAGGGATGAAGATCGAGTTAGCTGTACCAGACTCTGTGCATTGTGACAGGCATCTAGCCCTTCTGCCCTTGAGGTTTAATTGGGGAACAAAGTCTCTGACTCCAGGATGTTCCCTGGGATAATCTGGACAGAGCACACAACCCTCTCCTGACACAGGTCAGGAGAGCTGAGGCTGGGGTCCTCAGTGGTGAGGAGGCTTTCTAATCCTGAAGGTCCCTTGTGATTCTCACTGCCAGCAACACCCACCACCATAACTGCCACACTGTGCATTCCAGCTGTGCCTCGCTCCTCAATAAAGTACTTTCTGAGTCAGTGCTCTGTGGTGTGCAGGTGGAGGGAGGAGCTGACTGGGGGCCTCTGAGGAGCACCTGGGTCTCAGTGGGGGTGGTGGCAGCCTATAGCTAAACACTTCAGCTTCCTGGCACCAGCCCTCCTTGACGAGCTAAAAGGGGATCTCGGGGGAGGAGTGTGTGATTGAACACGATGGCGTCTGAGACTCCGTGTGCCTGGAAATGTCCGTGGAAGAAGCTGTGTCAGATGTGTGGCTGCGTGAGGGCAGAAGTGACTGTGAGTGCATTTGCTTGGCTCCTGTAAGAGATGAATAGCAGTGTTCAAATGGCTACGACAGCCTATGTGTGTAGGAGAGTGTGAAGGGTAGCAGTTGAGAGTATGGCCACCAGCACCTACAGGGAAGAGAGAAGAGCTCCAAGGGCCATGCAAAGCCCAGACCTGCAGGGATACCAGTGATCTGGCCAAGTAGATAGGACTTCTGATGTTCCCTGGACAAGAAGGCCCAGGGAACAGAAGACTGGGGGAAGATCCTGTGACTGTGAGCCAGCCACTCCTCTGATTTAAGGGACCCAATGCTGGCCCTCCATCTCTCGACAGTGGTAACTCCTTGCCCGTCTACTCTGGGCTTCATAAGCCTTTCTCTTTCCATGGTGGACTCTGCTGCTCTTCTGCCATGGACCAGGTACTTCCCAAGCTCTGGGGCCCTTTCTTCCTTCATCTGCTGCCTTATCTCGCCTTCCTCTCCTGCTCTCTCCCTACTCCAGGCACACAAAGGAAAGCAAATTTACCAACAGGTGTTGAGTAAGTCATCCCCGTTGGTTCACATGGGTCAACAGTCCCTAACCTTTAAAGAACTCAGCACCTGAAACACACGGCCTCTTCCTATAGCATCTTGTCATCTCTGTCGGGTATCCGTTGGCATGCATGTGTGCGTGTGTATGCGTGAGTGTGTGTCTGGTCATCCCAGGGCCCATACTCTTATGGATCAGTGCTCTGCAGTCCCAAACATCACCTGCTTCCACTTCCTTGAAAGTAGCCAAAGAGAGAAATCCACCGATGCTGCCTTAGGTGTGATCTGGGCCTCCCTTCTCCTAACCCTTATAAGGAGACACCCCATATACACTCAGCAACGCTAGGCCCGGTCCAAAACCCTCCCAGCTGACAGATGCCCCAAATTACACCCTCATGGCTCTTCTCTCCCTACCCCACCCCCACGAGAAGACTTCCTGATATTGTTCTGTAACTAGCTATTGGAGAGGAGAACGGGCTTCAGGTAAGAATTCTGGTCAGTGAATCAACAGATCCAAAAATTATCAGTGTGCCAGGCAGTGGAGGCACATGCCTTTAATCCCAACACTTGGGAGGCAGAGGCAGATGGATTTCTGTGAGTTCAAAGCCAGCCTGGTCTGTAGAGAGAGATCCAGGACAGCCAGGACTACACAGAGAACCCCTGTCTCCAACAATAATGATAATGATAACAATGATTAATAAATCACTGGTGTGAGGAAAGTGGAGTGGACATATCGACTCCCTAGAGTCCCCTCCTGCCACCCTCAGCTTAAGATGATCTCAGCTCCATTTTTCTCCCTCCATGTCCTCAGTCGCACAAGTGCCCTGGGGCCCACTTCCCAATCCCAGCAAAGCACCCAAGGTCTCAAGACCTGCCACCCCAGGGTCTCTTCCCTTCATATGGTTTCCCCAGTGAGAGCTAAGGGACAGATCTTTCAGGGTAGTGAGATCCTGGAGCAGCCTCACTCTCTATACACAGTAGAGCCAAAGATGAACTCTGCCCTCGCAGCTCTGCAGGCCTCTCCCAGGCAGGCCACTAGGAGGCTGTTTCTGCCACGGTGAGGATGAGGTTCTGAAAGCAAGCTCCCTGACTGTGAGGAGTCCGTGAGGGTCTGGTAATGTTTGCAAGGGACACTGCAGAGGACCAAGCCCTCTAACGTGACTTCTCGGTCCCCCAGAGGGCCTGGGCTGCAGTGAGGACGCAGAGCTGCTCCTTCTGAAAGGATAGTGCTCCCCAGGATTTGCCGTAGATGATCTTTGGGGTGATCTAGGAAGCCCTGCCTCTCAGAGGAAGCTGCTGCTTGCTTGGACTAGGGAACCCATATGGAGTAAGAAATGGATTCCTTCCTCTAGTCTCAGTAGGAGAAACGAGGGTGCCACTGAGAGCTAGTTTTTACCAATGAAGCCAACAGATAATTCCTGAACTTTGCCATGTGCCCAGTACTGGGAGGATACTTCCTACGTGGGGAAGCAGATAGTAAACAGGACTGGCGAGGTGGCTCCGTAGGGAACAGTGCTTGCTACGGAAGCACAAGGACCCGAGGCCAGATTCCTCACCCACGGAAAAGGCTGGTCTGGCCGTGCTTCTGAGCCTATAACACAGTGAATTGCTAGGGGAGGTGGGGTATTACTGAGGCCAGCTAGCCACCAGCCGAGCTTCAGACGCCCTGTCTTGAGAGAATGTGCAGAGAATGACAGAGGACATCTAATGTTCCCTTCTGGCCACCGCACTTGGGCACACATGCATGGGCACCCATGTCCACACATATGTCACATTCATACACACACAAGACCAAAAGACACCAACCAGTAAAGAGTCCTATGCTGGAAATCACAATAGGATCTTAGGGACCTGGGTATTTAGGGAGGTCTTCTCCGAGAGAAGCTAAATTCCAAATGGAATGACAAGAGTCAGCCATGCTAAGGTCTAGAGCAAGAACATTTCAAGTTCAGAAAATGGCCATTGAAGAAGCCCGGAAATAAGTAAGAACTTGGCCTCTTTGTCTCACAACAGAGAGACGGGTTATAGAGATAGCAGGGGGTGAAATTGGAGCGGTGTGGAGGGGGTTATTGCTCAGCCCATGGCGAGCTTTGTAAGGCTGGGGTGAGAAGTTTGGATTTTATTCTCGGTGAGATGGGAGCCACTGGAGGGTTTTAAGCAGGAAGTGGCATGAGCAGATTTATGACTGTGAAGGTCGCCCTGCCTGCTGTGTGGGAAACAGTGTTAAGAGGAGAGACAGTAAACAAGGGGCAGGTTATGAGGTGACTGCAAAGTTGAGTGGCAGCTGGGGCTGAGTGGTCACCGGGAGCAACTACACCCGTCTCTGAGGTGAGTTGGACAGTCACCTAATTTCCTGGGGGAGAGAATGAAAATGCTCTAGGAGGAAATACTAAATTTTGGTTGGAGCCTTGGGTTGGAGAACCATATTCTGGGAGAAACTTAGGAACTGTCAGCCCAGGAGACCAGTCCTGAAGGAGCAGGCCCACAGGCCTGGGTTCTGGAGAAAAGGGCCCTGGTATGTAGACCTAGGAGCCTCTGGCCTAGGAGTGGTGGTGTGTGAAGAGAGGTAGAGGCTTCAAGCCTAGTTTAGTCTAACTTGTAAATTTGATGGAGAAGGACCCTTAGGATGTTCTGAACCTCTGTCAAACTTCAGCTGATGTCAGTGAGTTTCCATGAGGACTGTGTCCAGGAGTTAGGGATTAAGAAGAGGAATGAGAACCAGGAAGTGGAGATCGCCATCATGCTCGCTCCTATATCTGACACAGGTAGGCGAACGATAATACCTGTCAAACCAGTGAAAAAAAGATGTGAGTCTTATCATGCACCTGATAACAGGAATTTTAGATGCTGACTGAACAGGAAGGTAGAACAGTTTGTGTCGGGGGGAGGGGGTCCAATGCCCACTTGCAGACCCCCCTGCATCTACTGCTCTGTCGAGGTTGTGTGCAGAGATGCAAGAGCATGTAAGATGGCCAGATGGGCTCCCGAGGCTATTCCGGAGGAGCAGGCTTCCCGAAAGCTAAAGAGGGCTAAGCCTGAGAAAACCAACACTATTAGAGACTGCCACCAGAGGGCACCCTGAGTACATGGCAGGGAATTTCAGCTTCCTGAACAATTTTGACTTTTTCTCTTCTGAAGGCCAAAGACCCTGAGGAACTGGAAAATTGAGGGAGCTGGGGGTAGGGGTTAGTCACCTAAATGTACTCAGTAAATCACCCATTTCTACAACTAGACGAAACTGAGGAAGCCTTGACCTAGAAATAGAATTCGTCAAGGTCACAAGTAAGTCCTGATTCATAGACTGAATCTTAATGTTGATCTTGAATCCTCACCTTAGTCCATACTGAGAGTTGGTCCTTGATTATAGAGTGAACTTGGCCCTGGTCACACTCCAAGGCCTGATCCCTGCTTTGTCAGTGTACTGAACCTGGTCTTTATTACCAATTTCTCTGATCTTGTTCCATAGGCCTTTGTTATATACCCTGGCTACCCTGACCTTTATTATATATTGAACTGGGACCTAGACACGAACTGGGTTTTGATCATGGACACACATCAGCTTTTATTTTGGTTGTAGACTGAGTTCTGTCCCTGGGAACAAACAGCCCTGACCCTGGTCCATATACTGAGCCCTTACTGACAAAATCCCAATCCTGACTCTGGTCGTAGGCCTCTGACACTTGCCAAAGATTGAATTTTTATCATGGTCACACTCAGTCTTGATCACTATGCCTTGCTCTCCTGACACTTCACTGACAGGAAGACATGCTAACAGTTTTATCAGGTCAAGCTTCCTCCCTCAAAGGAAGTACTGCCTAGAGCACTTCCGTAAGGACAAAAAGAATTCTGGTTCTCTGGTTTGCCCCGGACCTTCAGGTCCTTGGGTCTGGAGGGACAAGCAGAGAAAGCTGGTTCTAGGACATCTGGGATACAAAGAAGACGGGCAGCGAGGATTCTCAAGGTATCCTAAGTGCTCCAGGGTGGGGCTAGCTGGGAAGCCAGCATGGGAGCCGCTTCCATCTGCACCCTTGACTGTATTGGAACCTCTGACATGTCTCTGCTGCTTCCTGGGCTCCACCCTTTTCTACCTGTTACAGAAAACGTGAAGTGACATTCCATGTAAAGAGGAAATCCAGGCCATAATGGAGATCCCAGAACCCCCCCTTGCAGGAAGAGAAATCCCCTCATTCTGGAAGCTCCCTTTGGCTGGTCACCCCAAGCAGGCAAGAAA